CACACCCCCGTGACCCTCAAGAGGATAAGCAGTTAAGGTAAATGAATGAATGAGTATCTGGAAGTAATGTCACAAGTTTCCCCTTTGTCGACACTGACGGTCCTTCAGCGCTGTGTCTAACCGGTGTTGGGCAGTCGGAGATAAGACCCTCTGCGCTGTCCAGCTGTTGTTTTTGCCCTCCACTCGCCATGGAGCGGATTCAGCAAGGCGCTGGTGATGTCAGTATTGTTGTTTAGTGAGAATACTGTGCACTGTCACAACAAGGACAGACACACGGAAGTTAGCTGCCTCTGTTGGTGTCAAGATATTGTTGTCATAGAAACAAATCACATGCTCAGTGCATCACTAAAAAACAAACAGCTCTGGGAGCGCTCTCTTATGAAGTGCTGGGATGACGCCCTGACACTACTTCCTGCTGATGAAAGGCACTGTGTGACTTGTGTCGGTGTGTGCACCATGATCTGATGTGTCAGCTGGGATAGGCTCCAGCCCCCTGTGACCCTCAAGCGGATAAGAGCTTATAAAGATGGATGGATAATGATAATAATAACAATAATAATAATACATTAGATTTATATAGAACTCTTCAGGATACTCAAAGACACTTTACAGAGAACAACAGCAGCCATCGATAGAAGAAGAAATAATCCACAGGGATGTGGAGAGGGAGAAGGTGAAGGGTGTATCAGGATGTGATGAAGTATTGGTTTTTATTGCAGTCACTTTAAATATTTTTCATTTATTAAATCTATTCAGTTGCTTTTATTTATTTTTTCATTTTGCTTTTTTGTTTTTTTATGTTACATTTACTTTTTTTCCCACATTATTTTATTATTAATCTTTAATTTTAGATGCTTTTTCATTTCTATTCATTCATTTATTTTTTTTGTATTTTTCTGTATTTTTTTCAACCCGCTGCAAACGATGGTCTATTTTTTTCTATTATTTTTTTATTCATATTTATAGTTTGTTTTCAGTTTATATATTTTTTGTAATTCATTCATTTTGAATGTTTAAAAAGGTTAATTATATTAATATGACGTCGTAACAAAAAACTGAAGAGTCCATCTGTGTGTCTGTCTGTCCATCTGTCTTTGTGTGTGTGTGTCTGTCTGTGTGTCTGTGTGTCTGTCTGTCCATCTGTCATCTGTGTGTCTGTCTGTCTGTCTGTCTGTCTGTCTATCTGTCCATCTGTCTGTCTGTCTGTCTGTCTGTCCGTCTGTGTGTCTGTCCGTCTGTCTGTCTGTCTGTCTGCGTCAGTCTGACAGGAAGTGATGCTGGCTCTGCAGTGAGACAGGTGTTTCCAGATGTTGGCGTGCTGGTTGTTGGTCTGCTGACCTGGAGGCTGATAGTGAGACTCAACACCAACAGACACACACAGGTAAGACACACACACACACACACACACACACTCAGTAATGAAGCAGGTGTAACCTTGTTAAGTTGTCTCCTCTTGTTTCTTAACGAGGTTTCCTGTCTATTAGTGAGTAACTCAGTAAGATATTTATTAACTGTAACCTTGTTATGTGACATCATCAGGACAGTGACACACACACAGTGATACACACACACACACACACACACACACAGACACACACACACACTCAGTGACACACACACACACACACACACACACACACAGACACAGATATTGATGAGGTTTCAGGTTCATCAGTTCGTTATCTGAACTGTCTGAGTGTGTTTGTGACAATGAAACCAGACCAGCAGACAGCAGCTCCTCCTTCTCACTTTACATCACTTCACTCGGATGGACCAGTCTGTCCAGCTGGAGCACGATGACGTCCACAGGTGGAGGACAGACAAAGACGTCCACAGGTAGAGGACGGACAAAGACATCCATAGTTGGAGGACGATGACGTCCACAGCTGGAGGACGATGAGGTCCACAGCTGAAGGACAATGACATCCACAGCTGGAGGACGGACGATGATGTTTACAGGTGAAGGACGATGACGTCCACAGGTGGAGGGCAGACAAAGACATCCACAGCCGGAGGATGATGAGCTCCATAGCTGGAGAACGATGACGTTCACAGATGTAGGATGATGAGGTCCACAGGTGAAGACGGACGATGAGTTCCATAGTTGGAGGACGATGACGTCCACAGGTGGAGGATGATGAGGTCCACAGGTGGAGGGCGGACAAAGACATCCACAGCCGGAGGATGATGAGGTCCATAGCTGGAGGACGATGACGTTCACAGATGGAGGATGATGATGTTCACAGCTGGAGGACGATAACGTTCACAGATGGAGGACAGATCATGACGTCCACAGGTGGAGGATGATGAGATCGACAGGTGGAGGACAATGACATCCACAGGTGGAGGACTAGTCTCGCCACAAGACAATCAGAGATCTCCGCCTTCTGATAGTCTGGGGACATTCCTTTCTAAAGTGTGTTTAACACACCGGCAAAAACGGCCGGCAACAAAGCAACGCCTCTTGCATTTTTGAAAAGGACACGCCTTCTCGGAAATGTGCGCTCCTCCTTTTCTCGTCCGCAAGGAAACAAACACACACCGTTTTATCAAACGTGTGCTCATCCGTGAAGAAAATATCTTTTCCAGTGGATGTCTTATGCTGTGTTCCCACCAAACGTGATGAACGTGATTTAATTGCTCCTAACGCGCCGCCCGTAACGCGTGAGTTTGGACACCTGACCATTTTGTTAATTCGCGTAATCGCGTCATTCACGCGAGTAGCGGGGAAACCGGCTGTGCTAACTGGAGCTAAGCTAGTGCTAACGTTCATAGTACAACCATTCTGCAAACTAATTAAAGACACATATTTACAGAACTTACCAAGTAGACCAGTCTCCTCGGCGTCTTTCACCCAAGCCTGCTCCACGCGAATTTTGCATCTATCGCGCCGCGCTAGACTTCAATTCAATTCAATTCAATTTTATTTATAAAGCCCAATATCACAAATCACAATTTGCCTCACAGGGCTTTACAGCATACGACATCCCTCTGTCCTTTGGACCCTCACAGCTGATAAGGAAAAACCCAAAAAACCCTTTAACGGGGAAAAAAACGGTAGAAACCTCAGGAAGAGCAACTGAGGAGGGATCCCTCTTCCAGGACGGACAGACGAGCAATAGATGTCGTACAGAACAGATCAGCATAATAAATTAACAGTAATCCGCATGACACAATGAGACAGAGAGAGAGAGAGAGAGAGAGATACAGGTAATAACAGTAGCTTACAACAACATTATTGAAAGTAATAATATTATAGTTATAGTTCTGGCTACTGTGGTACAATATGTTGAAAGTATGTATTAATATCTGGCAGTATACATGTGCGCTGATGTCCAAAGGTGGAGGAACGGATGATGACGTCCACAGGTGGAGGACAATGAGGTCCACAGGTTGAGGACGATGACTTTCACAGGTGAAGGACACAGACGTCCACAGGTGGGGGACGATATCGTGCACAGCTGGAGGAGGGACAATGTTGTCACAGCTGGAGGACAATGAGGTCCACAGGTGGAGGACGCTGACGTCCACGGGTGGAGGATGATGACATCCACTGATGGAGGACAGACGATGACGTTCACAGCCGGAGGACGATGACTTCCACAGCTGGAGGACAAACAATGATGTCCACAGGTGGAGGACGATGATGTCTAGAGGTGGAGGACGATCAGGTCCATGGATGGAGGATGTACAAAGACATCCACAGCTGGAAGACAAACAACGATGTCCACAGGTGGAGGACGATGACGTCTAGAGGTGGAGGACGATCAGGTCCATGGATGGAGGATGGACAAAGACATCCACAGCTGGAGTACAATGAGGTCACAGTTGTAGGGCGGACAATGACATCCACAGGTGGAGGACAATGAGGTCCATAGCTGGAAGATGGACAATGACGTTCACGGGGGAGGACGATGAGGTCCATAGCTGGAGGATGGACAAAGACATCCACAGTTGGAAGACAATGAGGTCCAAACACGGGAGGATGATGAGTTTTTCAGCTGGAGGACGGACGATGACCTGAAACCTCAAACCAGAGACCTGAGATCTGAGACCAGAGACCAGAGACCAGAGATCTCAGACCAGAGACCTCAGACCAGAGGCCAGAGACCTCAGACCAGAGACCAGAGATCTCAGACCGGAGACCAGAGACCTCAAACCAGAGACCTGAGATCTGAGACCAGAGACCAGAGATCTCAGACCAGAGACCTCAGACCAGAAACCAGAGACCAGAGATCTCAGACCAGAGACCTCAGACCAGAGACCAGAGACCTCAGACCTGTAGGAAACAACAATATTAGGCCTCACCAAGGGGCACCATTAAGGTAGGGAACAATTCTGGGCCTCAAAGGGGGACATTATTAATGATGTCAATTATACTGGTGATACTATAAAAGAGGGGATACTATGTGTTGTGATCTAGGCACCAGTGCTGTGTTGTACACGGTAGCACCATTGGTTGGGACTTAAGCCTTAACAGGGGCCTAACCTCGTAATAGATTAAATTAAAGTATTAAATTGGCTATCTGAAACAACTGATAATTATTCATATTAATTATTAATTATGTGAAATAATGTGACTTAATTAACATTAAATCACCTCGTGGGGCACCATTCCCCAAAAGGGAAAATGATAGCCAGTTAAAGATATCAGTTTCATAAGTTCACTAAACTATCAATTTGGAATTTTTATAAATAATTGAATTAATAACAATAACCAAATTTAATAATAAAGCCTGAAGGATCCTCAATGCAGCAGATGTTGACTATTCACTCACTCTTGTGCAACATTAAACAGACAGCAGGTATGATTCCAAAAAAAAATATATTTGTTCACAAAGTCAGAAAAGCAAAACCTAACTATACAAGCTTGGTGTGTATGTGTGTGTGTGTGTGTGCGTGTGTGTGTGTGTGTGTGAGAGAGAGAGAGAGAGAGAGAGAGAGAGAGAAAGGCAGGTGTGGTAATCAAAGAGCTTACAAAACAAAATGGCTGACGACAGAGAACTACAAGATGGCCGAATAAAAGCTGTCTTCAGATCGGGGGAGGTGTTTGTCTGACAAAGATCAGGACAAAGACAAGGGAGATGAAGCAGAAACTTTGAGTCTCCTCTTCAGGTGTCGCTATGTTGAAGCCAAAGTGTGAGTGAGTCTATGTGAATGTGATGTGTGGTGCAAACGGTCTGGATTAGTGCCGAGATTGTTTAGTTGTCTGCAAGAATCTGTTTGTGAACAGCATTAGCAATCTACCATCACGTAGCTTTGGCGAAGCCAACTAACCAATGACCTAACTGCAACCAGTCACAACAGTGACTCGGTGAACAGCATCAAATCACTGTCGACAAAGTGAAACAGTCTCACTCAGCCTGTACAGCTGTGATAAAGCTATGCCCAGTTGTTACATTACCAATCCTTGACTGGATGGAAGAAAGAGTTGCTTTGTGCTGCTTTTGTTAGCTGGCAGTTGAAGGCTGGAAGGAAATGGGGTTCCATATGCAGACTTTGTTGGGTCCTTGTTCCAAAGGTGTAGATCTGAGGAAGCTGGGCACTTGGGGACTTTGCAGAGTTACAAGTCTGCTGCTAATTCAGCTTGGTTCTCCTTGTCGCTGGAAAGTTAGTTGCAAACCTTGTGTTTGTACTTCTAACTTCTCTGGTTCAGGTTAAGAGAGTCCGTGAGCAATTGTGAGACTTCTGACCAGAGACCTGAGACCTCATACAAGAGACTAAAGACCAGAGACCTTTGAACTCATACCAGAGACCAGAGATCTCAGACCAGAGACCTCACACCTCACACCTCACACCTTAGACCAGAGACTTCTGACCAGAGACCTGAGACCAAAGACCTCAGCCCTGAGATCAGAGACCTGAGATATGAGATCTGGGACCTCAGACCAGAGACCTCAGACCTGAGATCTGAGACCTCAGACCACAGACCTCAAATCAGAGACTAGAGACCAAAAGACCTGTGACCACAGACCTCAGGCCAGAGTCCTGAGACAAGAGACCAGAGACTTCAGACCTCAGGCGAGACACATGAGACCTGAGACCAGAGACCTCAGACCAGGGACCTTGGACCAGAGACCTGAGACCAGAGCCCTGAGCCCAGAGACTTAGAGGCTAGACACCTGAGATCTGAGACCTGAGACTAGAAACTAGAGGCCTGAGGCCAAAGACCTGAGATCTGAGACCTCAGACTAGAGACCAGAAACATGAGGCTTCAGAACAGAGACTAGAGGCCCCAGACCAGGGATAAGAGACCAGAAACCTTAGTCCTGACACCTGAGATCTGAGACCTCAGACCTCAGACCTCAGACCTGGGACTTCAGACCTCAGACCAGAGACCTTGGACCTGAGACCAGAGACCTGAAATCTGGGACATCAGACTAGAGACCTTAGCCCAAAGACATCTCAGACCAGAGACCCGAGGCCAGAAACCTGAAATCTGGGACCTGAGACTAGAGACCAGAGATCTAGAGGCCAGAGACCTGAGATCTGAGACCTCAGACCTCAGATCAGAGACCTGGAACCTGATGCCAGAGACCTGAGACTAGAGACCAGAGATCTCAGGCCAGAGACCTCAGACAAGAGACCAGAGACCCCAGCCGTGAGACCAGAGACCTGAGATATGAGACCTGAAATCTGAGACCTGAGACTTGGGACTTCAGACCTCAGGCCAAAGACCAGAGACCTCAGTCCAGAGATCTGAGACCAGAGACATGCGATATGAGACCTGAGACCAGAGATCTGAGACCTCAAATCAGGGTCCCCAGACTAGAGACCTGAGACAAGAGACCAGAGACCGTTGACCTGACACCTGAGACCAGAGACCTACGATCTCAGACCAGAGATCTCAGACCTCAGGTCTCAGACCAGAGAACTCAGACATCAGACCTTTGACCACAGACCAGAGACTTCAGACAGACCAGAGTCCTGAGACCCCAGACCAGAGACCTGAGACCTCAGGCCAAAGACTACAGACCTGAGATCAGAGATCTCAGACCTGAGACCACAGAGCAGAGACTTAAGGCAGACCAGAGTCCTGAGACCCCAGACCAGACACCTGAGACCTGTGACCTCAGACTGAAGATCTGAGATCTGAGACTCGAGACCAGAGAGCTGAGACCTCTGATCAGAGGTCTCAGCTCTCTGGTCTGAGACCTCTGATCAGAGATCTCTGACCAGAGACCTCGGACCAGATTCTAGAGACCTCAGACTTCTGACCAGAGACCTCAGACCAGAAACTAGACACCTCAGACCCTTAGACCAGAGATTAGAGACCAGAGACCTCAGACCTGAGACCAGCGACCTGAGACGTCAGACCAGAGACCTCTGACCTCAGACCAGAGACCTAGGCCAAAGACTAGAGACCTGAGATATGAGACCAGAGACGTGAGGCCAAAGACCAGAGACCAGAGACTTCAAATCTCAGACCAGAGACCTGAGACCAGAGATGTGAGACCTGAGACCATACACCTGACATCAGACTAGAGACCAGAGACTTTAAACCAGAGACTTTAGACCAGAGACCAGTGACCTTACACCTGAGACCAGTGACCAGAGACCTCTGACCTCTGACCAGAGACCTCAGACCACAATCATCAGACTAGAGACCAGAGACCTGACAAGAGACCAGTGACCTGACACCTGAGACCTCTGACCAGAGACCTGAGACCAGAGACTTCTGACAAGAGACCTGAGACCAGAGACCTCAGACATCAGATCTGAGATCATAGACCAGAGACCTGAGACCCCTGACCAGAGACCTAAGAACAGAGACCTCAGATCAGAGACCTCAGACCAGTAACCAGGGACCACTGACCAGAGACCTCAGACAAGAATCATCAGACTAGAGACCAGAGAGTTTAGACGAGACCAGTGACCTGACACCTGAGATCACAGACCAGAGACTTCAGACCTCAGACCAGAGACCTGAGACCCCTGACCAGAGACCTAAGAACAGAGACCTGAGACTTCAGGCCAAAGATTTGAGACCTGAGATCTGAGACCAGAGACCAGAGACCAGAGACATGAGGCCAGAGACCAGAGATCTGAGACCTGAGACCAAAGACCAGAGACTTTCGATCTGAGAGCAGAGATCTGAGATCTGAGATCTTCGACTTAAGACTTAAGACCAGAGACTTGAGACAAGAGACCAGAGACCAAAGACCAGATACCTGAGATCTGAGAATCGAGACCCGTGACCAGAGATCTGTCAGTCCTTGTCTGTGATCAAAGTGACTCATATCTGTCTGTGTGTCTGTCCTGCTGCAGTCAGACTGGTGGATGGAGACATGCTCACAGTGACTGTGTCTTTCTCTGTTTCAGCCTCAAGAGGACACACAGCAGCAGGAGGAGGAGCAGCAGGGGGAGGAGCTCATGTTTGAGGATGACTCTGTGCTCGGAGACGAGGAGGAGGATGAAGGCAGCAGAAACAGGATTCTTGTTGAACTGGAGTTACTGGTTTGTAAAACCAGACAAATGGTGGGAGACATGACAACGACTGGAGGAAAAGTCCTGCTGACGGTCCTACTGGGACTCACAGGTAACCAGTAGAACCCAGTAGAAAACTGGTCCTGATCAGACTGGTCCTGGTGATATCAGACTGGTCCTGATCAGACTGGTCCTGGTAATCCGACTGGTCCTGGTGATATCAGACTGGTCCTGATCAGACTGGTCCTGGTAATCAGACTGATCCTGATCAGATTGGTCCCAGTGATCAGACTGGTACTGGTGAGCAGACTGGTCCTGATCAGACTGGTCCCAGTGGTCAGACTGATCCTGATGGTCAGACTGGTCCTGATGGTCAGACTGGTCTCGATGGTCAGACTAGTCCTGATGGTCAGGTCAGACTGGTCCTGATGGTCAGATTGGGCGGCAGTAGCTCAGTCCATAGGGACTTGGGTTGGGAACCGGGGGGTCGCCTGTTCAAGTCCCCATCCGGACCAACATATGGAGCGTGGACTGGTAGCTGGAGAGGTGCCAGTTCACCTCCTGGGCACTGCCGAGGTGCCCCTGAGCAAGGTACCGAACCCCCCCCAACCGCTCAGAGCGCCTGTCATGGGCAGCCCACTCTGACATCTCTCCACTTAGTGCATGTATAGGTCCTGTTTGTGCATGTGTGTGTTCGGACCTGTGTGTAATTGACAACAGAGTGAAAAATTATAATTCTCATTTAAAGCAAACCTCACGGACTGCATTTTTTCATCTGCGTAATATTGCGAAAATTAGGCCTATCCTGACCCGAAAAGATGCAGAAAAATTGGTCCACGCTTTTGTTACCTCAAGGCTGGATTACTGTAACTCTCTATTATCAGGTAGCTCTAGTAAGTCCTTAAAAACTCTCCAGCTAATTCAGAATGCAGCAGCTCGTGTACTAACAGGAACTAAGAAACGAGATCATATTTCTCCTGTTTTAGCTTCTCTGCACTGGCTCCCTGTAAAATCCAGAATTGAATTTAAAATCCTACTGTTAACTTATAAAGCTCTAAATGGTCAAGCTCCGTCATATCTTAGAGAGCTCATAGTGCCATATTATCCCACCAGAACACTGCGCTCTGAGAACGCAGGGTTACTCGTGGTCCCTAAAGTCTCCAAAAGTAGATCAGGAGCCAGAGCCTTCAGCTATCAGGCTCCTCTCCTGTGGAATCATCTTCCTGTTACGGTCCGGGAGGCAGACACCGTCTCCACATTTAAGACTAGACTTAAGACTTTCCTCTTTGATAAAGCTTATAGTTAGGGCTGGCTCAGGCTTGCCCTGTACCAGC